CCCTTGGCCCACCAGGCCGTCTCTCAGCATCAGCAACAGCAGCAGACTCCGCAGCAGATCCTGCCGCAGCCGTTTCAGCAGCAGCAGCAGCTGTTCCAGAAGCAGCAGCAGCAGGGGCAGCAGCACCTCTTCTCCCAGTTGCAGCAGCAGCTCCAGCAGCTCCAGCAGCAGCTTGACCTCCACTCACAGCTCCCCCTTGCACCTCCTCCTATGGCTCCCCCCCAGCAGCCCTACCCCGCTTGGACCGCCGGCACCGCCGCTTCCGCAGCTCACCTCTCGGGCGCGTCTCCCGCGCCCTCAGCCACAGGCAGTGTGACTCCTTTCCCCTCCTCTGGTTTTGTTGGCATGGTTAGCCAGGCTGGAACCCCCGCCCCTTCTATGTATTCGGCTGCTATTAATGAGAATGTGATTCAGTACTCCGTCCCACCTCCTCCCCCACATCCTCCCCCCTCCACCACGCTGGACTTTGTCCTTGACAGTGGAGCCACTGAGTCCGTCCTTCGTGATGCTGGTACCCTTCACCCTCTCCCAGCCCCCACCTCCGTCCTTGGTGCCGATTCCAGCTTCTCTATTCCCTGTCGCCACACCTCTACCCTCCCCTGTCCCCTCTTCCCCTCAGGTACCGTCACTGGTTTACACATCCCCTCCCTCCGTACTAACCTCCTCTCCCAGCGATCCCTGCAGCAGGCCGGTATCACCACCATCTTCCCAGGTCGCGCTAATCACTGCCTCCTATACCATCCCACAGGTCGCCTCCTCTCCCGTATTCCCTTTTGTCCTCACTCCCGCCTATATACCCTTCGAGTTCCTCGTCTTCCCTCTGCCCAGGCAGTCTCCCGCTCCCTCCCCCCACCTCACATCCCTCCCCCTCCTCTCCCTCCTTCTAACCCAACCATTCCCCCCCTCCCCCCTGACCCAACCTCCTCCTGTCGATCCCTCTCCCATCCCACCGTCCTCCTCCACCACAGGCTTGGTCACCCCAACTTTGCCACCCTCCGCTCGACCGTCTCCTCAGGTCTCCTTCGAGGTCTTCCCCTCACCCTCCCTCCCCTCCCTCCCTCCCTTGCCCCTCCCCTCACTGCTCCGTCTGTGTCCAGAGCAAGCTCAAGCAGCTGCCGCATCGGAGTTCCCCCTCCGCTGCTGCTCAGCCGCTTGATCTTGTTCACATGGACCTCTGGGGCCCCAACCCCTCCCCTTCCCGCCAGGGCCATCGCTACATGCTTGTTCTGGTCGATGATCACAGCCGATATTCGTCCGTCTCCCTTCTTCGCTCGAAGGGTGATGCTTCGGCTGCGATCATCGCCTGGCTCAAGCAGGCGAGCACCCACTTTGGCCGCCCTGTGCGCCGCCTTCACTCTGATGGCGGTGGTGAATTCCTCAATCGTCAAGTAGCCTCCTACTGTGAGCTTCATGGCATTCGCCAGACTCACACCCTCCCCCACTCCCCCCAGCAGAATGGTGTGGCCGAGAGCCGTGTTCGGGAGATCACCAAGATTGCTCAGTGTCTCCTCATCCATACCTCTTGCCCCCCTTCTCTGTGGGGCTATGCCCTCCATCACGCCACCCTCCTTACTAACCTGTATCCCCACCCTATCCTTCCCTCCACCACTCCCACCAAGCTCTGGACGTCGGCCAAGCCTGACGTCTCCTTCCTCCGTGTGTGGGGCTCCAGGGCGTATGTCTTCATTCACCCTGCGGACCGCCCCCGCACCATGGGAAAGCTCGCCTCCCGTACTCTCCCCTGCATCTTCCTTGGTCATAATCCCTCCTCCTCGGACTACCTCTTCCTTCACCCCCCCTCAGGTCGTTTCCTTCGCAGTCGGGATGTAGTCTTTGATGAGTCCACACCCTACTATACCACTCCTCCCCCCACTGACCCTCTCGCCCCTGCTCCCAGGCCCCTCAACTGGTCCGACACTATCCCACCCCCTCTTCTCCCTCCCCCTCCCATCCTCCCTCCCGCTCCACCTCCTCCATTCCCCGCCGCCTCGGTCCCTAGTGCTCCCCCCTCCTCTGGTGACATATTTGACCCTGACCCTTTTTTTCCCCCCGCCTCCCCGTCCCACTCCTCCCCCTCCGCTCCCTCCCATCCTCCCCCCTCCCCTCCTCCCCCCTCCCCCCCACGTCCCCCTCCCCCCTTGCGTCCCACCCGCTCCATCCTTACCCGGTATCCCCACACCAGGTCGCGTGATGCAGTCCTAGGTGCCCCGCCTCCTGTTATCCTCTCTTCCTCTCCCTTGCCTCCTCTCTCCCCTCTCATGGACAGTCTTACAACAAAACACTAGCCCAACCCTGCCGTCGAGCTCCAGTACAGCAGCCCCACCAGCAGCAGCAACAGCTGCAGCAGCAGTTCCACCCACCGCAGCAGCACCAGCAGCAGCAGCCGTCGCTCCTTCCTCGCCTTCACCCGCAGCAGCAGCAGTGGCGGCAGCAGATGCAGCAGTAGCAGCCGCCTCAGCAGCAGCAGCAGCAGATGCATCCTCAGCAGCAGCAGCAGCAGCGGCAGCATAAGCAGCTGCAGTCCTCCCATTCCTTTTCCACTCCTCCCTCCTCGAGGACTCCCATGAGGAGATCCTCAACCTCCACCTGCATGATCCAGCCCTCCTACCCATCTCCCCTGACCTCAGCGGCACACCAGTCTTCGCCTTCTCCTCCGCCCCCACCATCTTCGTCCCCGCCACGTACGAGGAGGCCATGGCGTGCTTTGACGCTCACCTCTGGCTCGCGGCCATCCTCAAGGAGTTGGAGGCGTTTATTGCCAACTCCTCCTTTGTGGATGTGCCACGCCCTCCCTCTACCACGAACGTGGTCAAAGGGAAGTGGGTGTTTCGGGTGAAGCAGCTTCCTGGCGAGCCGCCAGTCTACAAGGCCCGCTACGTCGCCAAGGGCTTCACCCAGCGCTACGCTGTCGACTTCTTCGACACCTTCTCTCCCACCGCCAAGCCCGCTACCATTCGCGCAGTCCTCGACCTCGCCGCTCGCCTCAACATGGAGATTCACTCCATGGACGTCTCCAACGCATTCCTCCAAGGGGTCTTGCGCGAGCTCATTTACATGGAGCGTCCTGCCGGCTTCCACCTCCCCTTTCCGTCCGACTCTGTCTGGCAGCTGCGTCGGCCGGTCTATGGGCTCAAGCAGGCACCAAGGGAGTGGCATGCCAAGCTTGCTGCCACCCTCGCCGAGCTTGGCTTCAGCACCTCCCGTGCCGACCCCAGCCTCTTCCTCCGCACCTCCCCCTCCCCCTTCTACATCCTCGTCTATGTCGACGATATGATCCTCATCACTGCCGACTCCGCCGAGCTCGAGCGCGTCAAGCGTGAGCTTGGCAGCCGGCTCAAGTGTAAGGATCTAGGGGAGCTGCAGCACTATCTCGGCATGGAGATTACCCGCGACCGTGCTGCTCGCACCATCTCCCTCTCCCAGGGCCACTACCTGCAGCAGGTCCTGGAGCGGTTCGACATGGCTCGAGGCACCCCTCAGGTCACCCCTCTTCCTGTTGGGCACCATCTCACTCCCCTCACCTCCCCCTCCTCCTCCTCCCACCCCTACGCTGAGCTCATCGGCTCTCTCATGTATGCCATGGTCTCCACCCGCCCTGACCTGGCATACCCCATCAGCGTTTTGGCCCGCTTCGTTGGTACCGGAAAGCATGATACCACCCACTGGCAAGCGGCCAAGCGTGTCCTCCGCTACCTTCGGGGGACCAAGGACTACGTCCTTACCCTTGGCGGCCCCTCCCCTCCCCTCCTCACTGGCTACTCTGATTCCTCCTGGGCTGACTCTAGGCCTGACCGCCGCTCCTCTCAGGGCTATGGCTTCTCTCTTGGCAGTGGCCTCATCAGCTGGCGCTCCACCCGCTCCTCCTCCATTGCCCTCTCCTCCTGCGAAGCAGAGCTGTATGCCGCTACCATGGCTGCGCAGGAGGCCCGCTGGCTCTCCTTCCTTCTTGAGGAGCTTGGTGATTGGTCGGTTCCTAGGACCAAGGACCATTTGGTTGGAATAGTGCCAACCAAATGTGTAGGACCAAATCCAAACTTGACCAACCCAAATGTGGGGTTGGTCAACCCAACCAACAGCCCCCCAATAATTATAATGACTACACCTCCTTATCTAGGCATGCATGTTGTATACATATATATATTTTACAACACTACCCCACCCACAGCACTGTGCTTCCCCCCTCACAACACTGTGCTTCCCCCCTCAGGGCACTGTGCTTCCCCCCTCACAGCAATGTGCTTCCCCCCTCACAGCATTATGCGACCCCACCCACAGCACTGTGCTTCCCCCCTCACAGCACTGTGCTTCCCCCCTCACAGCACTGTGCCGTCCCCCTCACAGCACTGTGCTTCCCCCCTCAAAGCACTGTGCTTCCCCCCTCAAAACACTGTGCTTCCCCCCTCACAGATTGCTTGCTTGCTTTCAGATTGCATGCCTCCTTTCAGATTGCATGCCTCCCTCCGGTTGCATGCCTCCCTTCAGATTGCATGCCTCTCTTCAGATTGCATGCCTCCCTTCAGATTGCATGCCTCCTTTCAGATTGCATGCCTCCCTTCAGATTGCATGCCTCCCTTCAGATTGCATGCCTCCCTTCAGATTACATGCCTCCCTACAGATTAAATGCCATCAGATTACATGCCTCCCTTCAGATTACATGCCTCCCTTCAGATTGCATGCCTCCCTTCAGATTGCATGCCTCCTTTCAGATTGCATGCCTCCCTTCAGATTGCATGCCTCCCTTCAGATTACATGCCTCCCTACAGATTAAATGCCATCAGATTACATGCCTCCCTTCAGATTACATGCCTCCCTTCAGAGTACATGCCTCCCTTCATATTACATGCCTCTCCTTCCTTTCCTCGCACTCTATCCTGTCGTCCCTCCCTCTCCTTGTCTCTTCTCCCCTGCTTCTGTTTTTGAGGCGTCTCAAAAATAGACTCTTCGCACACTGTCGTGTCGTCCCTCCCTCTCCTTGCCTCTTCTCCCCTGTTCCTTCCCAGGGTTGGGAATTGACACGGTGCAGCTAGACGTGACGTCCACTGCGTCCATTCAGGAAGCCGTCAGCACAATCATATCCAAGGTGAGTTTGAATCTAAACTGTGCGGCTTGATGCAAAGTCCCCACTGCTTCCATTCAGGAAGCTAATAACACAAGGTGATGTTTGAATCGAGACAGTGCAGCTATATGGGACGTCCACTGCGTCCATTCAGGAAGCCGTCAGCACAACCATATCCAAGGTGACGTTTGAACTGCAAGGGGCCCAGTTGATACAGCATCAGCTGCCTCCATTTAGATTGAGACGGTGCAGCAGCAGCTAGACGTGACGTCCACTGCATCCATTCAGGGAGCCGTCAGCACAGTCATATCCAAGGCGTTTGGTTGTTTGTTTTTTTTTAAGCATTTTGAATTACATCACAGGTGTGTTTTGAGCGATTTGTTGAGGAAAATATTTTCTCATTGTGCAAGTTATTCCTCTCCTAGTCTTTGAATCCGTCGAGGTCCCCAAGGAGAATTGTGCTTCTCTCTCTCTCCTTTCCGTCTCTCCCTCCCGTTCTTTTCCTACCTGCCCAGGCGGGCAGGATAGACAGTCTGGTGAACAACGAAGGCGCGGGGTGATTTGGTCCCATGGCGGAGATGCCTCTGGACGCGCTTGAGGCGGTTCAAGAGCAAAAAGACGGTTCTATCTACCTGTCCTCTTGCTCATGTGTGCAGGCGGGCAAGATAGACATTCTAGTGAACAACGCAGGCGCGGGGTGCTTTGGCCCCATGGCGGAGATGCCTCTGGATGCGTTTCGAGGCAACATGGAGACCAACGTTGTTGGGTTGTTAGCTGTTACACAAGTGGTGGTCCCCCACATGGTGGAGCAGGTGAGGCGATGGCTCAACTTACAGTGGCGATGCCTCTTGGTCGTGCCTCTGGATGAATTCCGAAGCAGCATGGAGACCAACGTTGTTGGGCTGCTAGCTTTTACGCAAGCAGTGGTCCCCCGCATGGTGGAGCAGGTGAGGAGATGGCAGGGAGATGACAGGGAGGTGAGAGGGAGATGAGAGGGAGATGAGAGGGAGATGAGAGGGAGATGAGAGGGAGATGAGAGGGAGATGAGAGGGAGATGAGAGGGAGATGAGAGGGAGATGAGAGGGAGATGGCAGGGAGATTAGAGGGAGATTAGAGGGAGATGGCAGGCAAATGTCAGGCAGATGGCAGGCAGATGGCAGGGAGATGGCAGGGAGGTGAGAGGGAGATGAGAGGGAGATGAGAGGGAGATGGCAGGGAGATGGCAGGGAGATGGCAGGGAGATGGCAGGGAGATGGCAGGGAGATGGCAGGGAGATGGCAGGGAGGTGACAGGGAGGTGACAGGGAGGTGACAGGGAGGTGAGAGGGAGGTGAGAGGGAGATGAGAGGGAGATGAGAGGGAGATGAGAGGGAGATGAGAGGGTGATGAGAGGGAGATGAGAGGGAGATGAGAGGGAGATGAGAGGGAGATGAGAGGGAGATGAGAGGGAGATGAGAGGGAGATGGCAGGGAGATTAGAGGGAGATTAGAGGGAGATGGCAGGCAGATGTCAGGCAGATGGCAGGCAGATGGCAGGGAGATGGCAGGGAGGTGAGAGGGAGATGAGAGGGAGATGAGAGGGAGATGGCAGGGAGATGGCAGGGAGATGGCAGGGAGATGGCAGGGACATGGCAGGGAGATGGCAGGGAGATGGGAGGGAGGTGAGAGGGAGATGGTGTGAGAATCTGAAGTGATGATTGTATTAGGAAAGGAGTGGGTATACATAGGTGAGGAGTAGGAGGGAGGGGGGGGGGGGTTTGGTTGGGAGGTGACCACGATTATTGGTGACCCCAATAAGTTGAGTTGGCCAACTTATTGGGGGTCCAATAATCCTAGCCAAGATTATTGGTGGGTCCAATAATCTTGGTTGGGATTATTGGGGGTTCCAATAATTGGGAGCCCAACCAATTTGGGAACCCAACAAGGTTGGGAACCCAACCCCCAACTTGGGTGTATACACCCTAGTGGGGTGCTTATAAGTTCCTAAGACAATGAAACGATGTAGGCTAATAGAATGAAGGGAGAATAGTCTAACACAACCCCTTAGCCTACAGAGTGCCATAAGTCTTGGGAAGGGGAGGAGAAGCAACCCCTGAATCAGGTAGTCCCCTGTGAGGGAGGGGCAAGACCCAGAAGGCGAAGGAGAGCCGCATGGGGACGACGAGGGAGGGCCTTGGTGAAGATGTCGGCAAGGTTGGCTGAAGAGTCAATCTTGCGCACGGTGAGGTGTCCAGCCTGGACGAGCTCACGAACGAAGTAGTGTCGGAGCTCGATGTGTTTGGAGCGACCATGGAAAACGGCTTCCTTTGTGAGGTGGATAGTACTGGCATTGTCGCACCAGATGGTGGGACAGGGCTGGGGAGCATCCAGCTCAGCGAGGAGGAAGCTGAGCCACCGCGCCTCCTGGGCCGCCATGATGATGGCGTAGAGCTCTGCTTCGCAGGAGGAGAGAGCGATCGAGGAGGAGCGGGTGGAGCGCCAGGAAATGAGGCCGCTCCCGAGGGAGAAACCATACCCCTGTGAGCTGCGACGATCGGGCTGAGAATCTGCCCAAGAGGAGTCGCTGTAGCCAGTGAGCTGAGGAGGGGTGGGGCCGCCCAAGGTGAGGACATAGTCCTTGGTGCCTTTGATGTAGCGGAGAACGCGCTTGGCCGCTTGCCAGTGCTCGGGAGTGTGTTTGCCAGCGCCGACAAAGCGCGCCAGGACACTGATAGGGTAGGCGAGGTCGGGGCGAGTGCACATCATGGCGTACATCAGGGACCCGACCAGCTCAGCGTAAGGACTGGTGGAGGAACCGTGGGTGGTTGTCGGCGAGAGCTGGTGGCCGACTTGGAGGGGTGTGGAGACGGGTTTGGCCGTGGCCATCTCGAAGCGTTCAAGGACCTTCTCGAGGTAGAATACCTGAGAGAGGGAGATGGTCTTGGCCACACGATCGCGAGAAATCTCCATCCCGAGGTAGTTGCGGACCTCCCCCAGGTCCTTGCAGAGGAGGCGCTTCTGCAGCTCATCCTTGACCTGTTGTAGGTCTGCTTCGTTGTCAGCGGCAAGAAGCATGTCGTCGACGTAGACGAGGATGTAGAAGGGGGAGGGGGAGGTGCGCAGGAAGAGACAGGAGGAAGCCTGGGAAGGGCGAAAACCAAGAGCACGGAGAGTGCTCGAGAGCTTGGCATGCCATTCCCGAGGAGCTTGCTTGAGGCGGTAGACCGGGCGGCGAAGTTCCCAAACGGTGTTGGGAGGAAAAGGGAGGTGCCAGCCCTCGGGACGCTCCATGAAGATGCGCTCATGGAGTTCACCTTGGAGAAATGCCGTGGTGACATCCATCGAGTGCAGGATCATGCCGCGCCGGCCGACGAAGTCCAAGAACACGCGGACGACAGGGGGAGTGGCGGTCGGCGAGTACGTGTCAAGGAAGTCATGGCCGTACCGCTGCGTAAATCCTTTGGCGCAGTAGCGGGCCTTATAGACCGGGTCGTCGCCAGGGAGGAGCTTGACCCGAAATACCCATTTGCCTTTGACCACGTTGTGGTTGAGAGGGCGGGGTACGTCGATGAAGGTGCCGTTGCGGACAAAGGCCTCGTTCTCTTTGAGGACTGCCTTGCCCCAATGAGGGTGGTCGGGGCATGTCATAGCTTCGTGATAATCTCCCGGCTCGAAGATGATGGGCGCACCGGAGAAGACCAGTACCGGAGCGCCGGTCATGCTGAAGGCGACTGCTTGGGTGTTGGAGAAGAGGTGGAGGCGAAGAAATTCACCATGGGAGTCTTCGATGAGGAGGGGAGAGAAAGGAGGAGGAAGGGAGGGTGGTGTTGCAAGTCTGCTGCGCTGCTGAGGGGGGGGGCTGCGACACTGCGACTCTGCGACTCGGCTGCACGGCTGCTTGACCGGGGCCACTGCTGCGGCGGATCCTGATGCTGCGGGTGCGGCAACCGGGGCAGGCACTGGTGCGGCGGCGGGAGCTGCTGCGGCGGGTGCGGAGGTGGAAGCAGAGGGTGCTGGAGCGGGTGCCTTTGCCTGAGGGGAGGGAGGGGCTAAGGGCGGACCAAAGAGGGGATCCATGGACCGAGTATGAGGGCGGTGGCGAAGGACAAGGGGAGAAGACACCTGGGGGGGTGGAGGAGGAGGTGGGGGAGGTGGGGGAGGAGGGGGGGAAGGAGGTGGAGGGGGGGAGGTGGGGAGAAGGGGGAGGATGGAGCGGAAGCGGAGTGAGAGGGAGAGGGGGGGAGTACTGGGTCAAGGATGTCACCTGAGGAAGATGAGGAGGGAGCAGATTCGGGAGGAGGAGGTGCTGGAGGTGGGGGAATAAGAGGGAGAGGGGGGAGGAGGGGGGGGGTGACAGTGTCAGAGGGGATGAAGGGGCGAGGAGGAATGGTGAGTGGGTCAGGTGAGGCAGGAGAGGTGTAGTATGGGGAGGATTCGTCAAAGATGACGTCCCGACTACGAATGAGGCGACCTGAGGGGGGATGAAGGAAGAGGTAGTCAGGGGAGGAGGTGTTGTGACCAATGAATACACAGGGTAGACTCTTGGAGGCGAGCTTCCCTGCTGTGCGTGAGCGGAAGACCATTGAGGAGCCCGGAGGCGACGGCCTTGTGGAGGGTGGCAAAGTTGGGGTGACCTAGGCGGTGGTGGAGGAGGATGGCAGGATGTGTAAGATCACGACAGTGGCACTGAGATGGGGGGGGAGCAGGAGGGGCGGGAGGGGAGGTGGAGGGAGGTTGCGGAGGAAAGAGGGGAGGGGGGAGGGGAGGGATGGTGGAGGCAGTGTGACAGGCTGACGGACGGGGAGTGTGAAGGGTGTACATGCGAGTGCGAGGACACATCGGAACACGGACAATGAAATGGCCCGTGGATGAGTGAAACAAGTCGCAGTGGGTGGCGTGGCCGGGGTAGATTGTTGTGACCCCGGCCCGTTGAAGTGCACCTTGGGAGACGAGGTTAGTGCGAAGGGAGGGGACATGGAAGCCAGTGACTGAACGTGAGGGGAAGAGGGGGCAGGGAATAGTGGAGGTATGGCGGGAGGTGACCGAGAAAGTAGAATCGGCTCCAATGATGGTGGAGGGGTTAGGGAGGGGGGTGAGGGCACCAGCATCACGAAGGACTGTGACACTGGCGCCGCTGTCAATGACAAACTCAATGGAAGGAGGGGTGGGGTGAGACACGGAGTACTGGAAGGAGGTTTCATTAATAGACTCGGGATATATTGGAGGAATAGCAGGAGAGGCATGGCTAACATGGTTGATGAAGCCAGGTGAGGGAAATGGGGTAAAGCCAGGAGGTCAGGTGGGGGCCTGCGCAGGAGGAGCAGGAGCAGACAGGCCAGAGCTCCAGGCGGAGGGAGGGGAGGGCTGCTGCTGAGACTGCTGGTGCTGCTGAGACTGTTGCAGCTGCTGGAGGAGCTGCTGCAGGAGCTGCTGCGGCTGCTGCTGGGACTGCTACGGCTGCTGAGTCTGCTGCGGCTGTGGGGACGGAAGGAGGGGCGTGACCTGCTGGAGGATCTGTGGAGGGAGGTGCTGTGCGAGGATGTGGTGGAGAGAGGTAGAGGAGGGCTGATAGGCGGGGAGGGTACGAACATCAAAGGGAGTGGGAGGTGGAGTGATAGCGGACCAGCGAGGGGGCGTGCCCGTGTTGCCTCGATCAAGCCACTCATCAGTGAGGGCCTTGAAACATGTGGTGGTGGCATGGGTGGTTTGGAGGCAGCGCTTACCCTTGTTGGGGCCGTTGCGGATGAGATACTGACACGGGGAGAAGCCGCCGGTGCTGTTGGAACCACTGCTACCCCCGCGTCCTCCACTGCGCCCCCCGCCACGTCCACCACCCGATCGTCCCGCCGAAGTACCGCCACGGCCAGCACCACGTCCTCCTTTTGCTTGGGCAGCATGAGCCGTTGGAGGAGACTGGCAGAGAAGCTCCGCTTCAGTTTTCAGAATCCATGCGGCTACATAGGCGGAGTCGGGTGGGAAGCTGGCGTGGACCTCATTGAACGCCACGCGACGGGCCTCATACATGGGTGTGAGGCCGTCGAGGAGGCGGCAAACGATGAGGGAGTCGGGAAGGGGAGAGCGACGATCGGCAAGGCGTTTGGCAGTGGTGAGGAGGCGGCGCGTGAAGGAGAGGGCGTTGGGGCAGGAGTCAAGGTTGATGTCGAGGAAGGCGCGGTGGAGCGCTAGGAGAGAGTTGGTGTCCTGGAGGTCATAGGTGGCACATAGCTCTTTCCAGAACTCGGGAGCGGAGGAGGGGGTAATTTCGCGTTTGAGGGAGGAAGGAACGCATGCAGACAGGATAGCGAGACATTTGCGGTTGGCAACGTTCCAGGCAGAGTGGCGACGACGGTACTCACGAAAGTCGTCAGCATACTTAGCCGTGGCGTCCTTGTACTGTTGGAGGAGTGTGTTGGCGGCGTCGTGCGCAGCTTGCTCTGCGTCATACGCGTGATGGAGGAGAGTGTACTCCGAAAAGTCCTTGTCATATTGGTGTTGCACGCGAGCCCAGCGATCAGGGTCGTCGGTGTAGACCAGTGGAGAGGGCTTGGTGGGGGCCGGTCCCGAGGGGGCCGGGGGTGGGGCGGGAGGTGCAGGGGAGACATCAGCGGGACATTCGGGGGGCTGCCCTGCGTCATTGCCAAGGAGAATGTCGAGGAGGCAGTAGTCGTTGATGATAGCGGATCCGAGGACATTGGTAAGGCTCTGGGCAAAGGTAGCCCAGTTGACAGGGACGGCGTCGTCGATGAGCTCGAGGACGTCGATGGTGGAGATGTCGACGGCGAGTGTTTCGGTGGTCATGGTGCGATTGCGGATGCTGCTGCTGTTGCTGCTGGGGATGAGTGGAGAGGGGAGAAGGAGGAGGGAGGGGAGGGGGGGGGGGAAATACGGCTGCTGCTGCTGATGGTGCGGCTGCTGGAGATGAGGCGGCTGCTGCAGCTGGTGGGGGGAGGAAGGGGAGTAGGGGGAGGTGGAGGGGGGGAGATGTGGCTACTGCAGCTGATGAAGGGAGTGGGGAGGAGGTGAAGGCCGGTGGGGAGTGCGGTTGCGGTTGCTGATGCGGCTGCTGCGTTTGATTGAGGAAGGATGCGACTGCTGCTGTTCGTGGGGAAGGAGGAGAGGAGGAGAGGGGAGGGGGGGGGGGGGGGGAGAGAGGGAGGGGAGGAGGGGAGGGAGGAAGGAGGGGGGGGGGGGAAGAAGACGGGTGCGCGGAGCGCAGCTCTTAAGTCGCCGTAAGCCTTCTTCGGGCGCCGATGCGAAAGGCGACGGCCGGCGCAGATGGTGAGGACCGGACGCCGAAATGCAGACGAGCGCCGCGCCGAAATGCGGCCGAGCGCCGCGCCGAAATGCGGCCGAGCGCCGCGCCGAAATGCGGCCGAGCGCCGCGCCGAAATGCGGCCGAGCGCCGCGCCGAAATGCGGCCGAGCGCCGCGCCGAAATGCGGCCGAGCGCCACGCCGAAATGCGGCCGAGCGCCGCGCCGAAATGCGGCCGAGCGCCGCGCCGAAATGCGGCAGGAGCGCCGCGCCGAAATGCGGCCGAGCGCCGCGCCGAAATGCGGCAGGAGCGCCGCGCCGAAATGCGGCCGAGCGCCGCGCCGAAATGCGGCCGAGCGCCGCGTCGAAATGTGGCCGAGCGCCGCGTCGAAATGTGGCCGGAGCGCCGCGCCGAAATGCGGCCGAGCGCCGCGTTGAAATGCGGCCGAGCACCGCGTCGAAATGCGGCAGGAGCGCCGCGTGAAAATGCAGCGCTTAAGGGCGCGAGGAGAGGCGCTTAAGGGCGCGGGGAGGGGCGCTTGTGGGTGCGGGGAGGGGCCCTTATGGGCGCGGGGAGGGGCGCTTATGGGCGCGGGGAGGGGCGCCTAAAGGCGCAGAGAAGGACGCTGAAGGGCGCGGGGAGGGGCGCTTAAAGGTGCGGAGAGGGGCGCTTAAGGGCGCGGGGAGGGGCGCGTTGGGCGCGAGGTGGCTAGGGATCGAACGACGGAGAGGCGTGAGCCATAAGCTCTGAAACCATGTGAGAATCTGAAGTGATGATTATATTAGGAAAGGAGTGGGTGTACATAGGTGAGGAGTAGGAGGGAGGGGGGGGGGGTTTGGTTGGGAGGTGACCACGATTATTGGTGACCCCAATCAGTTGAGTTGGCCAACTTTTTGGGGGTCCAATAATCCTAGCCAAGATTATTGGTGGGTCCAATAATCTTGGTTGGGATTATTGGGGGTTCCAATAATTGGGAGCCCAACCAATTTGGGAACCCAACAAGGTTGGGAACCCAACCCCCAACTTGGGTGTATACACCCTAGTGGGGTGCTTATAAGTTCCTAAGACAATGAAACGATGTAAGCTAATAGAATGAAGGGAGAATAGTCTAACAGATGGCAGGGAGATGGCAGGGAGATGGCAGGGAGATGGCAGGGAGATGGCAGGGAGATGGCAGGGAGATGGCAGGGAGATGGCAGGGGGATGGCAGGGAGATGAGAGGGAGATGAGAGGGAGATGAGAGGGAGATGAGAGGGAGATGGCAGGGAGATGGCAGGGAGATGGCAGGGAGATGGCAGGGAGATGGCAGGGAGATGGCAGGGAGATGGCACGGAGATGGCACGGAGATGGCAGGGAGATGGCAGGGAGATGGCAGGGAGATGGCAGGGAGATGGCAGGGAGATGGCAGGGAGATGGCAGGGAGATGGCAGGGAGATGGCAGGGAGCTGGCAGGGAGGTGAGAGGGAGATGAGAGGGAGATGAGAGGGAGATGAGAGGGAGATGAGAGGGAGATGAGAGGGAGATGAGAGGGAGATGAGAGGGAGATGGCAGGGAGATGGCAGGGAGATGGCAGGGAGATGGCAGGGAGATGGCAGGGAGATGGCAGGGAGATGGCAGGGAGATGGCAGGGAGGTGGCAGGGAGGTGGCAGGGAGGTGGCAGGGAGGTGGCAGGGAGGTGGCAGGGAGGTGGCAGGGAGGTGGCAGGGAGGTGGCAGGGAGGTGGCAGGGAGGTGGCAGGGAGGTGGCAGGGAGGTGGCAGGGAGGTGGCAGGGAGGTGGCAGGGAGGTGGCAGGGAGGTGGCAGGGAGATGGCAGGGAGATGGCAGGGAGATGAGAGGGAGATGAGAGAGAGATGAGAGAGAGATGGCAGGGAGATGGCAGGGAGATGGCAGGGAGATGGCAGGGAGATGGCAGGGAGATGGCAGGGAGATGGCAGGGAGATGGCAGGGAGATGGCAGGGAGATGGCAGGGAGGTGAGAGGGAGGTGAGAGGGAGATGAGAGGGAGATGAGAGGGAGATGAGAGGGAGATGAGAGGGAGATGAGAGGGAGATGAGAGGGAGATGAGAGGGAGATGAGAGGGAGATGAGAGGGAGATGAGAGGGAGATGAGAGGGAGATGAGAGGGAGATGAGAGGGAGATGAGAGGGAGATGAGAGGGAGATGAGAGGGAGATGAGAGGGAGATGGCAGGGAGATGGCAGGGAGATGGCAGGGAGATGGCAGGGAGATGGCAGGGAGATGGCAAAGAGATGGCAAAGAGATGGCAGGGAGATGGCAGGGAGATGGCAGGGAGATGGCAGGGAGGTGGCAGGGAGGTGGCAGGGAGGTGGCAGGGAGGTGGCAGGGAGGTGGCAGGGAGGTGGCAGGGAGGTGGCAGGGAGATGGCAGGGAGATGGCAGGGAGATGGCAGGGAGATGGCAGGGAGATGGCAGGGAGATGGCGGGGAGATGGCGGGGAGATGGCAGGGAGATGGCAGGGAGATGGCAGGGAGGTGGCAGGGAGGTGGCAGGGAGGTGGGAGGGAGGTGGGAGGGAGATGGGAGGGAGATGGGAGGGAGATGAGAGGGAGATGAGAGGGAGATGAGAGGGAGATGAGAGGGAGATGAGAGGGAGATGGCAGGGAGATGACAGGGAGGTGAGAGGGAGGTGAGAGGGAGATGAGAGGGAGATGAGAGGGAGATGAGAGGGAGATGAGAGGGAGGTGGGAGATGATTGGTAGACGGTAGGGAGACGGCAGGGAGACGGCAGGGAGACGGCAGGGAGACGGCAGGGAGACCCCAGGGAGACGGCAGGGAGACGGCAGGGAGACGACAGGGAGACGAGAGGGAGACGACAGGGAGACGACAGGGAGACGACATGGAGACGACAGGGAGATGACAGGGAGATGACAGGTACGACGAGTACAGGGCAGGCTGCGTTCGTCCCATCCCATGGCAAAGATGCCTCTAAAGTCCCGTTCCATCTCGGATCAAGGTCCCGTGCGTCTCCAATCCCTTCCATGTGCCACCTTCCTCCCATACTTTCCCCCCATCTCCTATCCCCGGCGTAGATGGGTCATCAAGGTGGTGTACATAGGGTCGGTGTCAGCGTGGATCACCACCGTCTTCGCTGGCTCCTACTGAGCGGCCAAGGCAGCGGTGCACAGCACGTCCCCCCTCCCTCCCGTGCTCCCTCCCTCCATTTTCTATTTCCAGGGTACTGGCAAGATTGTCAACATAGGTTCGGTGTCAGCGTGGATCACCACCCCCTTTGCGGGCACCTACTGTGCGGCCAAGGCAGCGGTGCACAACATCTCCCATGCGCTCAGGATGGAGCTGAAGCCGTTTGGAATCCAAGTCATGCTCGTTGCCCCAGGGGCGATCAGGTACGAAACAGTTGTGGTGATGCCTCGTAAGGGGGCATCTGCTGTGCGGCCAAGGCCGCAGTGCACAGAATCGCGCATGCGCTCAGGATGGAGCTGAAGCCGTTCGGTATCCTAGTCATGCTCGTGGCTCTTGGGGCTATCAGGTATGGTGATGTGAATAGAGGCTGTTATTGAGATGTCTTGAACGGACTACCTTGGCAGTAGTGCACAGCATCACTCTGTGAGAATCTGAAGTAGACATGGGCAAAGTGCGATTGCGATTTAAATCGCATCGCATGCAGGTGCGATGATTTAAAATCGCATCGCGCGATTTATTTTTTGAAAAAAAATACATCGCACATCGCGTTTTGCCTGCGATGTATTTAAAAATCGCATGCGATGTTTTATTAAATCGCGCGATGCGATGTAAAATTGCATCGCATTTATAAAAGTTTTCAAAACAAATCTGCATAGTTGGAAAAAAAAAACCTTCAAAAAACTGGAACACGTGATGGTGCGGCCATTGACGAATAAAAATACCGTTCAGAGTGGGTTTCACACAAATGCGAGCCCCGTGGTAAGGGCCCGACTTTCGTAGCTTAAAAAAAGTAAGTGCATGGGTTTCAAAAGGGGGGGGAGGGGGGGGAGGGGGGGAGGGCAGCTGCCAGCTGGATGGTGTGAAAAGTATGAGGGTGCGGGAAAGGAGGGAGGGGGGTTTAAAGGAGGGGGGGGATGAGGGAGGGAAAGGGAGGAAGCGAGCATGAAGCATAGTCATCATCGGTCCAGCACGTTGTCAATATAAATAAGGTGATGTCCTATCAGTTCCCGAACCCCCCAGCAGCACGGTAGCCCTCAAAGCCCTGGACCTATCTCAAGGCCCAGCTCCCACGCCTCGTCGGCCGTCTCGACATCTTCGGCTGCTATCGCGCCATCAAGTCGCTGTCCAGGGTGAGAGGCAATCCATGACTTCAGCATCATGCAAGCGCGGATTCGCTCCGCACCCAAGCGGTAGCGCTGCCAGTGGATGAGGTTGCGGCCCTGTGAGAACAGGCGCTCGCAGGGGGCAGAGGTGGCCGGGGTGGCGAGGTAATCCCGAGCCATGCGCTGCAGCGCTGGAAGCTCCTGGTGGACCTTCCAGAACTGCAAGGGGCAGTCGTGCAGTTCCGCCAAGGGGAGTGACAAGTACTGCTGGATCTCGTCCTGCACCGATGAGATCTGTGCGGCCCGCACTGTTGCGAGGTGAGTAAACACACCCAAGTCCTCATCCTCCTCATCCTCGGACTCCCTCAGATCCACTCCCGTCCCGCTGCTGCCCCCCTCTACCGATGCTGCTGCCCCCCTCTTCTCAGCCACCTCCTCATCCACCTTTCTCTTGTACGTCTCCCACCTATCGCGCACCAACTGCTCCACCTCGCCGCCATCCAACTCCTCCACCACCCTGGTGCTCCCCTCCACCATAGGCCGCTCAAACCACACTCGCTTCAGTGCCGGATCCAAGAATGTGGCCACGTTGAGGTCATCGGTGCTGGAGTAGAAATAAGTGAGCATTTTCTCCAAGGCCTGGGACACGCACCGCGCCATCACCGACCCCGGCTTCGCCGCTGACAGCTTGCGCTCCAGCCAGTCCAGTACCCCATTGTACTGTGGCACCACACGCGCCACAGTTGGGTACACCGACCCCTCCGCCGCCAGAGTCACGTTGTTGAATGGCGCTAGGAACGCCATTAACTCCTGCAGTATCGCCCACTCATCGTCTGTAACGGCCTTCTTGTCCAGGTCGGCCTGCTCCTTCTTGTTACACCCCTGGAGTAGAGCAAACAAGGGTGTGGGGGAGGGGGAGGAGTGGGGAGCCGGGAACGGGGGGGGGACGGGGGGCAATCGTTCTGGCAGTGGTTTGGAGTGTGGCGGGGGGGACACGGCCGGGAGATGGAGGTAAGTAGGCGGCAGAGGGTTTGTGGTAACGAAGATACATGACATACCTCCCTAGCCACAAAGGCCCTGATTGGGCCTTTGAGCTCGATCGCTCGCCGCAGCATGGCGTGGGTGGAGCCCCAGCGCACCGGATTGTCCTGTTTCAACTTCAAGGGTTGCTTCCCAGGGAACTGGTGACGCTGCTCCTTCTCGAAGGCCGCCGTCTTGGTCACTGAGAAGCCAATGCGCGACGCGAGGTTGCGCAGCTTCTTCAGCGGCGCTTCCACCTCCGGCACCTCACCCATAGCCTCCTGCACTGCGAGGTTGTTGACATGGGCGAGGCACCTGCACCAAGCACAAAGTTTTGGAGGTTAAAAGGGATGGCCACGCCTTGTCGAAGGGTTAGGGCAACTACGGCCTGCTTGGTGGAAAATCATAGGCAGCGAACAATGGCAAGATGTCATACTGGACGTGAGCAGCCTTGCCGAACAAGGGGGTCGCGCGCGTCTTCCCATCTCCCTGATCCCCTGCCTTGAGAAGATCGAATGCCGCCCCGTTCATAGACGCGTTGTCGGTCGTGAGCGCCATACACCTCCCGGCAAGCCCCCAATCCTCGATCACCTCCTCCAGGATGTTGGCGACCATCCTCGCTGTGTGGCCGGCAGGAAGAGGCCTGAAGTCCAACGTCGCCTGCTTCAGGGTCCACTGTGCATCGATGTAATGCGCAGTGACGCCCATGAAACCGATGTCGTTCTCCGCCGACCAAATGTCCGTCGTGTAGGAGATCGCACCCACCCCCTTGTCAGCCGCCAACTCAGCCTTGGCCAACTCCTTGCACTGTGCCGCCTGTCGCATGATGAGACGAGCCAGCTTGTGCCGCGAAGGAATGACTCCCGGCTGAGCAAGCCGGGGGTTGGCCTCACCCATGAGGCGGCGGAACTGATGGAAAGCGAGAAAGGGTGAAACAAAGAGGTGAGGCCATGACGAGTGGATGGCAAGGAAGGGATGTACCAAACAGGATAACGTGACACAGGAACACGCCGTGGGGAGGGTGGCTGGGACTCACACTGTCTCGCTCCACTGTGCAAAACGCAGAGTCGGTGTCGACAATGTACTCGACGAGCAGCTGCTCCCAGCGCGGCAGGTCAAGGGGTTTCTGCATGTAACGCATAATCCCGTGCCCCCTCTCCCGGCCGACCGAAGGCCCGTCATCCTCCGCGTCCTCCAAGTTGGGCCAATATGCCGATCCCCACCAGCATCAAATGTCCCAATGAGCCCTGTGGTAACCAACCATGTGGGACCGCCCGTTCGATGTGGTGCGGCTCGCGAAGCTTACTAGGAAGTTGCACATCCTACACCTCCTCCAACCCGGTGCCGCCTCCTCCATGTCAAAACAAGCCGCGACACACAGTCGAGGTTCCTTCTCCACCTCCGTGGAGGAGCCCACATGACCCTGCTCAGTCGCCCCATGACCCTCACCCCGGCCACCTCCCGCCCTTCCCCCCCCCTCACGGCATCCATGGGAGACCGGGCCGCACCTCGGACCCTCCCTCCTCCCCCTCCGCTCCCCTGCGCCTCGTGGAGGTATCCGGGTGACATGCCAGGCCTGCCGACATCCTCGCGCAGCAGTCCCTTCCGCCCCCTGGGCCGGCCACGGGGGCGGCCCCTGGGCGCCCCCCCAACCCCCCATCTCCCTCTGCAGGTTTACGTGCCTTCTTCCCCGAAGAACCGACCGAGGGAGAAGGCCCGTCATCCACCTTGCGCTTCCCCTTCTCCTCGCCGCCAGCTCCCCCATCCTCCTCCCCATCCCCCTCCTCCTCCGCCACAACATCGTCGTCATCACCCTCCTCCTCCTCAGATTGCTCCTCATCCCCCTCCTCATAGGCAGTCCGCACCCCCTCCGCCGATGCTCGGATCCGCCAAGCATCCCCGTCCTCCGCCTCATCCCTAACGGCCGCCTTGCCCGCAAGGGCGGGCTCCGTTGCGACGGCCGCGCCACTCCCCTGCGTCCCAATCCCGCCGTTGCCTGGGGCTCCTCCCATGTGCCCGTCGCCTTCCACCCCTAGCGAGGTACCCGCCTTAATCCCCTGCAGCTTCGCGAATGCCGCCTCCGTCAGCATCCTGCGCTGCGCGCGTGCTTCCTTGCCGGTCAATGCGTGCGCTCCAGTCTGAGCATCCGGTTCATCCTCGCGGCCGCGACCCGCGCCACCACCACTCCTACCGCCCCCACGCCCCGCACCTGCTCCACCCTGCTTGCCCATCGCGAGTTGTTAAAGCGACTCCTTAACCTAAACCCTAAACCCTAACGCGGCCGATTCGATGCGCGTCGCGCGATAAACCCTGCAACTTGCGGCTGAATAAGATACGCAATGGAATACACGGCAATGGCCGTGCGTCATGGCTAGGATCTAGCTGGTGAACGGTGAAAAACCCTAGCGACACCACCAACGTGGCAAAATGCGTGCGCGAATGACGTGGATCGACTATAAGGCCATGCGGCGCACAATCTACTACGCGTCGTCTACAAATTTCAGCCACCAAAAACCGTGAAGAACGGTGTGCTTTGGAGTACTTGGAGGTGTGTGCAAAGCCCTAAAACGTTCTCTCAAACGAAAGAGATTTTGAGAAATGCGTTTTGGGGCTTTGCAAATTTTCCCTTTGTGCTGGCGAGATTTCGCGCTGCGATGTATTTCGACATCGCGCGCAATTTAATTTAAATCGCAAATCGCGTTTAAATCGCGATTTTCCGCCGCGATTTAAATGCGATTTAATTTAAATCGCGCGATAAATAAATCATCGCATCGCGCGATGAATTATTAAAAAAAAAAAAACATCGCCATCGCTAAACGCGATTAATGTCTAATCTGAAGTGATGATTGTATTAGGAAAGGAGTGGGTATATATAGGTGAAGAGTAGGAGAGAAGGGGGGCGGTTTTGGTTGGGAGGTGACCACGATTATTGGTGACCCCAATAAGTTGAGTTGGCCAACTTATTGGGGGTCCAATAATCCTAGCCAAGATTATTGGTGGGTCCAATAATCTTGGTTGGGATTATTGGGGGTTCCAATAATTGGGAGTAGACATGAGCAAAACCGGGTAATTACCCGACC